AAAAAAAAAAAAAACAAACAACAACAATGGGAAAGAGGGTATATATTCAAACAGAACTTTACATTGTGATTACTCCACTCGGATAGCCAATAGTAGTGGTAGTGATAGAGTGGTATTAACTGGAAGAATAATACACTTTTTTGGGGGGGATTACACTTGTATACCTACTGTTGTTGTTGTTTTTTTCTTTTTTTTTGTTTTTCTTGTTATTGTTTTGTTCTGATTTATACTTCTTTTTAAAAAAAAAAAAAAAATAATATTTATTTCTGTACTATTTTCTACTTTTTTTTTGTTTTTGTTTCTTTTGTGTTTTTTTTTTTTGTACTTCATTTGCCCATATATTGGAATGGTATTAGCGTGACGTGCGACTAAGAGCTAAAAAAAAAAAGAAAAGAAAAAAAAGGGTGGGGAAAAAAAAAGAAAAGACGTGAGAATGAGAGAAAGGGAGGTGTGGGGAAGAAAAAAGAAAAAAGAAAAGAAATAAAAAAAAGGGGAGGGATACGCAATAATCCTCACATACGTTTTTTTTTTTTCTGTAGACTGAAGTAGAGTTCTTTTATTATTATTATTATTATTATTATTATTATTATTATTATTTTTATTTTTATTTTTATTTTTATTTTTGTATTCCTCTTGTATGCTGCTGTTTTTCTACTGTTATGAGTAGTCTGGAGATTGATAATGGTAACAGTGTTTGTGTTTGTTTGTTTATTTATTTTTCTTCTTCTTGTGTAGATGATGATCTTGTCGCCTTTTGGTGGCTTAACTGTTGGTGTTTTTTTTTTTTTTTTTTTCGTTAGTACGTTTGTGGCTGTCTTTCTCTTTGCCTTGAGGACAAATACGATACATCCGTATATATATAAAGAGTAACTGAGAATGTATGGAATATATATATATGTATACGATCACATTTGTTCTTTTTTTTCTCTTTCTTTCTTTATTCTTGTTTACATCTCACATAATAAAGAAAGAAAGAAAGAAAAGAAAAACAAAACATATATACACACATATTTTTATATTTAGTTATAGTTCCATACGCAAACACAAATCCAAAACAAAACAAACAAACAAAAAAAACCATCTCAACGAAAGACGCATTATTATTGTTATTGTTATTATAGATATTAAGAAAGAAAGAAAAAAAAAGGGTGTGGGAGGATTCCAAATTAAATCTATATATTAAACCCCAAAGAAAAAAATATTATTTATTAAAAAAAAGAAATGGTGGTCCTTTCCTTTCTTGAAAAGGTGCGTGATAAAGCCTCACGCCTGTTACCAAGTGATTATATGGATGTAGTAGAAGATGCCACAATGCCGCATTTAATGGAACCCCGACATGAGTCCGTTATGTTTCTCTGCGATCGTGTTAACAATGGAATCGATACAGTAGTGGATGTTGTCCGGGCTATTCGCCGCCGTATTGCGGATAATGATGTGAAGATCCAATACCTCACCGTTTTACTTCTCAATACTCTTATTCGTCAATGTGTGATTGCCTTTCATATTGAATTAGCCTCTCAAAAGGGATTATTACGGGATTTACAAAATATTGCCGTTCGTTATCCATGTGTAACGGAAAGAGAACAATTGGCAAAAGATGCGGCATTGGAATTGATATTAAATTTATCTATTTGGTTTACAGGATATCCAGATGAACGATTGTATATTCTCTCATGTCTTTCAGATGATGTGCGGGAAGAGGCGGGGGCAAATGCCTTTGAAAACATTCAACCCGATACAAGTACACAGATAGAAGCATTGAAGATAAGAAGACAACCATCACAACGTACAGGTGCACAAACTCAACAACAAAGATCTCAACAACAACAAAGAAGACGACAACAACAACAACAACAACCAACAGCTCCTATTGTGGATGCGATTGGTGTGAATTTCCCTACAGATGAAAATCTTGCCACTATGGTGGAATGCTGTACTACCTTTGCAGAGTATCTTAACAATGCTAACGTCAAGGAGGATGGATCTATTGAAGTAGATGATATTATTCGTGAATTCCGTAAAAAGATATCCTCCGATCATGCAGAATTGGCATTACTACTTGGATCAGATCTTAAACTACCAAACCGTGATGTGCTAAATGATATTTATAATAGTCAAACTGCGATCTTTCAACGTTTGGAGAATTCAGCAAAATCAGATTCTCCTCAAACAGTTCCCCAACAACAATCTCAACAACAAAAACGAGAAGAACAATTGACGGGTGTTGTGCCAATGGAAAGTCAACCACAACATCCACCAGTTGTCATTCCCACACCACCACAAACAGAAACAGCCGCTGTTATTATGCCGCCAGTCTCAAAGGTGGAAACTGCAGCAGCAGAAGAAGAAGAAAAGGGAGGAACAGACATTATGGATGATTTATTTGAGGCAAAAGATGTTGGAAAGGCCACCGCTCCTTCTTCACATGGGACACAGGAAGAAGTTGTAGAAAAATCCAAAGAGGAGGAAACCGTACAGCAAGAGGAAGAACAAGAACAAGAAGAACATCAAGAAGTAAAACAAACACAAGAAGAAGAAAAAGATAAACAGCCACCCGCCGCTGAGGATGACTTTGATGCTTTTTTGGAGGGACGATCTGCTTGAATATTTTCTATATATGGTTCTTCTTCCTATTTGAATACAAAAAAAAAAAAGATTCTGCGAGGTATATATATATATATATTTATGTGCCTCTGTGTGAGTGATGTCTTTTCTTGCCAAACCTTCTCTCTCTCTCTTTGTGATTACCTTTAGTCATTGTTGTATGTGATTCTTTTTTTTTTATGTATTGTTGGTCATACACTTTGTCTTTTTGCATGCCAAGTATGCTAACATTTACGATTTACCACCTCATTTTGCTATCCACATTGCTTTCTCTTCTTTTGAAATGTTTTTGAAAGAGGAGGAGGAGGAGGAGGAGTAGAGGGTGATCTTATGATGCAGTCTCTTTTTTTTTTTTTTATTCTTTTGTGTTATTTAATGAACGTGAAGAAAAGAAAAAAGAATACTTTTTTGTATGGATACAGGTTTCTTTTTATTATATTTATAATTTTTTTTTTCCTTTTATTGTAATTTTGGGTCTCTCTCATGTATATTGGATGCTGTTAGTTTACCTACTCTCTTTCTATATTGACGATGCTCTTTTTCTTTTTGATACGATGGCTTTCCTTTTTGAATAAATATATTTATATATACTATTGAAGGTTTTGAATTTGGAGTATTTCTTCATCTTAATATTACTATTCAATATCGCAAAACAAATAAAAATAAAAAAAAGAAAATACTACTACTACTACTACAACTATTGGGAAAAAGATGGCACCTGATACTTTCACCAATCTAGTGAATACAGTAGAGCAATATGCAAAGAAAGGTTCCTGTGAACGTCGCTGGCGATTAAGTGCTGTTGAGGATTATATTCCCGCCAATCGCCTTAACGGCTATCCATTTGCCACTGCCGACGCTGTTGGGGTGCACCTCGCCTGCAGAAAAGGAAACCTCACCGTATCGGCCGATATCAGTTCGAATCCCAAATCTACATGGCGTGATTTCCTTCCAAGCATAATATGGAAAAAGTCTATTCAAAATCAAAAACATGAATTTCAATTACGTTTAGCAGATTCACCTGAAGGCATTACAGGAAAAGAAAATGAAAAAAAAGCCCCCATATTTGCCTATACCTTACTTCATCCATCTTTTACCTTTACCAGTGAATCCCAATTAATGAATGGCTTTAACTCTACACTTACGGCTACTACTCGGCTTAGCGACAGAGATCAACTTGGGTTTAGTACATTATACGATCCAAGTCGTAGTGGTGTGAAGGATTACACTTTTGCCTATTCCCGTTGTGGCTGTAATGCCATGATGGGTGGGGATTTCATGGCCAAGTATAATGCTATACATGGATCTGCACTGCATATGCGTTTCCCAGTAAATCGCTTTGCAAGTGCTGTAATTCTGGCAGAGAAGACACGTTTTATTATTGGAGCTGATTCCCGCTCACCATGTGGGGCACAATTGATGATGAATGTTAATATTGTGAACACAGAAGCTACACTGAGTGTGGTTCGGAATCTAAACGATATGTGGAAAATCACCATGTGTTATGTCGCATCTCTGCAAAAAGGTACTAGTGCAACGCCTAAGTTTGGTATTGTTTTCTCTACTCATGACAGTGATTAAATCGATAAAAGAATAGCAGGAAGTAAAAAAGGAAGAAAGAAAAAAAGAAAAGAAAAAAAAGAGAAATACAATTTATCGTTGGAGGGAAAGTATATATATATATATATATAGAAATTATAATTATTTAACGAAAAAAAAAAATGCAGTTCTACTACACAGGTATATACAATCCCTAATTTGTGGAATCATTTCATCTCTCTCTATATATATGAAGAAAAAAAAAAGAAAATTTCTTTGATTTTCTCTGAGAAAAGAGGCAGATGGAAGTGGTGGATGTCTCGTACAAAATATAAACGTACTGCTCTCTCTACTTTTCTCTATTAAAGATTCTGCATCTATGGGAATATCCTAAAGGGGGAAAAAAAAGGAGAGAAGTAAAGGAATACACCCTCTCGTCTGTATATGTGGTCAAAATTATAATAATGAACGTTAATAATATCAGGCAACAAGATGCAGCAAGTGCACCTTTGTCATTCTCGCAGCAAAAAGATAATAATATAAAAGAAATAGGAATATCAAAAGAAAAAAGTCCGGCTAAACAAAATAAAGAACAACAAGATGAGTCCTTTTTGGACACTATCAATGATGATACGAACGCACTACGAGTACGACTTAAGTGGGCTGAAATGAATAATCATGTTTTGACTGACAATATCAACACTCTAAAATCCGTTGTAAATCAATTGGCTACTCAGTTAGATCTGGCAAACAATCAACTAGCACTCTATACAGAAACGGAAGAGCTACAAAGGTTGCGCAGAAGTGTTAGGGAAGAAAATGCTGATAATGAGAATAAAGAAACCTTAAATACCAATGAATACAACGATCGTATCGCTTCTCTGCACAACGCAATACGAGAAAGAGATGCAATGATCATGACACTCCGTCATGACATGGTTATGCAAAATATAAACGCAGATAAACTTTTGCGTTCTGAATTAAAAGAAAAAGATCAAGTCATCCTACGATTAATGAATAAAATGGAGGAGTTACAACGAATTATAAATGCCAAAAGAGGTATATAGCAACTGGGGGAAAACTCAGAAAATGGTATGCTAGTACAACTTATTGTTTTATATATAAATATATATTTTTTTTTTTCATTTCTTTCCGTCTCTACTCTAGAAAAACAAATCTTTATACCATTTCAATTTTTAAAGATATAGACTGTATGAACACTATGAGGCGAAATAATTAAATGAATGCGTAATAAGATTCATATCGTTATTCTACTCAAACAATCATTATACGCAGAGAAAAAAAAAATTATTATGTTTGACATAACATATTTACGCACGTATCCAGGTATATATATATGAAATTTCACTCGTACGTATGTGTGTTGTGCACGTACACCTACAGTACACTCTGAGATGGTGACCTTATTCCATGACGGTTGTGTGACATCTGTTGTTCTCTTCTTTTTCTTCTTTTTTTCTTATTTTCTTATTCTCTTCTTTGCCACATGACCACAGTTCTACTCACGTACCCAAGGCTAAACTACTCGCGATGACATCCGTGGAATCCGGCGCTAAGGTTCTCCGCATGAAGGAGAGCGACGTGCAGAAGCTCGTTGCCATGCACTGCCACCTTGGCACGAAGAACCGCAGCAACGCCATGAAGAAGTACATCCACAGCCGCACCAAGGACGGCACAAACATCATCGACATCCACATGACGTGGGAGAAGCTGATCCTCGCCGCTCGCGTCATCGCGGCTGTGGAGAACCCACAGGACGTCACCGTCTGCTCCACGCGTCTCTTTGGACAGCGCGCCGTGTTCAAGTTCTCGCAGCTTGTCGGCACGTCATTCCTCGCTGGCCGCTTCATCCCCGGTACATTCACAAACCAGATCCAGAAGAAGTTCATGCAGCCACGCGTGCTGCTGGTCACAGACCCACGCACAGACCACCAGGCCCTCCGTGAGGCCAGCCTTGTGAACATCCCCGTTATTGCCTTCTGCGACACCGACGCCCCACTGGAGTTCGTCGACATCGCGATCCCGTGCAACAACCGCGGCCGCTACTCCATCAGCATGATGTACTGGCTGCTGGCCCGCGAGGTGCTGCGCCTGCGCGGCACAATCCCCCGCAGCGTGCCATGGGACGTGAAGGTCGACCTCTTCTTCTACCGCGACCCCGAAGAGGCCCTCAAGCACGAGGAGGCCAACCAGATCGCCGCACCGGTCGCCGAGGTGGACGAGGGCTTCGGCTGGGTGGAGCGCGACAACAACGCCTGGGAGCAGTAAGCAAATGCAGTTGTATAGCGTGACGAACAATAACTCTTTACTTTGTTTTTCGTTTTAATTCACAACTATGAGGAGGGGCCCCGTGCATTCGACGGTGTGATATCTTGACAATGCCTGTCTCGCCCTCACATAAAATATGTTGTTAGCATGCCCTGGGAGACTAGGGTTGTAGGAGTGTTCTGTCGCCCTAGCATATCACCACACATAAATACACAAACATGTATATTACAATTGCTCTGGTTCCAATCTCTCTCTCTCTCTTTCTCTTTCTCTTTCTCTTTCTCTTTCTTTCTTGTTTCTTGAATCCAGGAAGGTATGGGCATATAGTTGTATGGGCGGTATCACGAATAGGTATGAGCCTTTGTTCGCCCATTTTTCTTGATGTGGGCATTGAGTTCGCGTGCACATTATGGTGGTATGGATTCCCTGTGCTTTCGACTCTTGACAGGGTTGAGGGCGGTATGGGTATGTCCTCCTATTTTCCTCTATGATGTGAGTTTACTTCTGGAGGAAACTGGCCGTTTTAATGGTTTTGCCGTCTCGTCTGTCATGGGTAATGGACATGTTCCTGGGTGATAAATAAACAAACAAACAAAAAAAACAAAAAAAACGTGGTTGAACACTCATACATTGTAACGTGTTCACCAAGGTAAAGAGAGGTG